TGAGAAAATTGAGTTGCCGCCGAGATTCGATTGGATGTACGAGGATGAAATCAATTGGGTTGTACAAAGAAGATATAACTGGAAGGAAACTCTAACGAGCTAATATTCCATGAATTAAGGAATTTTATACCTTTTCCTAGCCGAGATCACCGCCATAGCTTTCAAAAATTTGAATTCAATTTTGTATAAAACTTTGAAGAAAACAGAATTGCACAGCCGATCACCGCTGTAGCAACTTAAAAATATAGCTACTATTAGTAATTATGTTTAGCTAATGAGAGTAATTAATTTAATTATGATAGCTATATGCGAAAGTTTCCCATTAATATAAGCAAAGTTGTATATTGAAATGGGCTGCTGAAATGGTATATGTGTGCTTCAGATGGGATGAAACCCAAAGATAAAATATCAAGCCCAAGAGACGTTTATTCCAGAATAAGGCTCTCAACTCGTGTCCAAATAAAGCTTATCTTCTTCATTCTTGGTACTGCCAGTCGGTGATCATGAGTTCCAACATTCCCCTTCAAGTAGGAGTCCGGAGATCGGACACCTAACTTGCCTAAAAAATGTATGTGCAAGGGACCAGCCAATGCCTTGGTAAAAAGATCGGCAATTTGAGAAGAGAAGGGGGTGAAATTGAGAGAGATGAGACCATCTACCAATTTTTCGCGAACAAAATGACAATTGAGTTCAATATGCTTCGTGCGTTCATGAAAAACTGGATTTTTGACGATGTGGATCGCTGTCTGGTTATCACACTACAAAGATATTGGGAGAGAAGGAGAGACAGAGAGATCTGAGAGTAAACGGACAACCCATGCGAGTTCACCAACCAATCGACGCATGGATCTATATTCCACTTCTGCAGAAGAGAGTGCAACAACAGGTTGTTTCTTGGACTTCCAGGAGATTGGACAACCACCAAAACTAATATAGAAACCACTGACAGATCGTCGAGTATCAGAACAAGCCACCCAATATGCATCACAAAAACCAAAAATTTGGAACGAAGAATTTGAATTGATGAATAGCCCTAGTCCCGGATCCTTTTGTAGATAGCGAAGAGTGTGATAAGCTGCCTGGAGATGACTTGTCCTTGGGGTTTGCATAAATTGACTCAAAGTCTGAACATTGTATGAAAGATCCGGACGAGAGTGAGTCAAGTAATTCAATTGCCCTAAAAGTCATCTATAAATGCTAGGGTTGGAAAGGAGTTCTCCAGAATCTGCAGTCAATTTGATGGAAGAATCTAAAGGTGTGGAAGCAAATTTTGTCCCAATTTCTGGATGTTCAGCAATGAGGTCCAGGGCAAATTTCCTTTGAGTAACAAGTACTCTATCAGGTACATGTAGGAATTCCATACCTAAGAAGTAATTAACAATCCCCAAATCCTTAATTTTGAATTTTGTGTTGAGAAGCAATTCCAACTCATCAATTTCCCTTTGATTGTTACCCGTCAACAGGATGTCATCGACGTAAACAACCAATATAGTGACAAGGGTACCTGAAGACTTAGAAAAAAGTGAGTAATCATTTAATGATGCAACATAACCTCGTGTACCCAATGCTGCTAATAGACGTGCATACCATTGGCACGAGGCCTTCTTAAGTCTCTTTACCTGCAAACATGCGAGGGAGATGAAGAAGTCATGCCAGGTGGAAACCGCATGTAGACCTCATCATTAGGGTCCCAATGGAGGAAGGCGTTGTTTACATCAAGTTGAAAAAGAGTCAAATTGCGTTTAACTGCTATGCTAAGAAGGCATCGAATGGTTGTCATCTTTACCACAGATGAGTAGGTTTCATTGTAGTCGATCCCTTCTCACTGTATGTCTCCACGTACAACCAATTGTGCCTTTAAACGTTCCAAACTCCCATCTGACTTAAGTTTCATTTTGTACACCCATTTGCAAGGTAATGGCTTCTTTCCAGGTGGTAAAGGTACCACGTCCCAAGTAGAATTGGACGTAAGAGCATCCAACTCTTGTTGCATAGCAAGTTGCCATCCAGGGTGTGAGGCTGCTTCATGGTAAGACTTGGGTTCCCTTATGTCACTTATAGCATCACTAAGATTTCGATTGTGTGTGCTAAAAAAGGAATAAGGAAAAGAATTAAGAGGAAAATAAGAAACATTAGGTGAAATCACAGTAAAGGCACTATCACAAATAAAATCACCTAAATGTCTAGGAAAAATAGATTTTCTGGTTGATCTGCGCAAATCTTTTGCCTCAAGTAGCATATGAGAGGGAATAGGTGCAGTAGTAGGGAAAAAAATCAGGAGTAGACACGATGGGAGCTGGATAAGAAACAGGATCCATAGGTGAAAGAGAAGAGTCAAAAGAATCCTCAAGATTTGGAGGAAGGTTGTTTAAGGGAGTACAAACTCGATGAGGGAAAAAAATCAGGAGTAGACACGATGGGAGCTGGATAAGAAACAGGATCGATAGGTGAAAGAGAAGAGTCAAAAGAATCCTCAAGATTTGGAGGAAGGTTGTTTAAGGGAGTACAAACCCGATGAGATGTGGAAGGAGTAGAAATAGGGGATTCTGGGAACAAAGGTCCATTTGAAAGAAAAGACCCTGGGAAAAGTTTAGACATAGGTTCTGATTTGGTGAAAGGAAAAATAGACTAAGTAAACTTCGCATTTCTGCTCACTACAACCTTATCTGCACGCTAGTTGTAAAATATAATTTTTGCTTCGTTATTTGATAGGACATACAATGTTTTACTTGAATATACTACATATATGTATGTGCAAAAAATAAGTTAAAAAAGACATACATACTTTAAGTATTAATAAAAGGGAGTTGATCAGATGATAATGTAACACCCCAGAAAAAAAAATTCGAACTAACTTGAACCATCCTTCGTTGTGAATAAAGAGTTGAGTTCATTTCTTCAAAAGAGTATATTGGGACTATGTATTCCCAAAGAGTAAATGTTTTCACATTTAAACAAGAAAGGAAACTGAGATTTCAAAAGAGCCTTTGAGCTAGTTTTTCAGTAAAGAGGAAACTATGATTTCCAAGAGAGCTTTTAAGCCAAGTTTTGAGTAATTATCTCAAACCAAAGAAAGAGTTTTGTTTTTACAAACATATGAGCTAAGTATATTTTAGGAATAGTATTGAGCACCGATATGGGGATGCGAGTTTAGATAACTCAAGTCTCCATAAACCATGTAGCCATCATGGGTAGTAAAGGATCATACTTTTTAGATGACTCCATAAGATGCTTTTAGTATAGACTAGTGGATCCACTAAGTTAAGCGTTCTATATGACGACAAAGTATAAGACAATTCTGGCGGCGTGGGCAAGACGTTGTATCACTACTTAGGCTCATAGTGGTGGTTGTCGGTTAGAGAAACTCCCACATAAACTATATTACTTTATTATATAAGTAAAGTTGAGTTTGTTATTGTATTTTATTTAGAGAACTAAGTTGTTTTTACTATTTTATAAAGTTTTCTATATATTGCATCTCTTATTGTTGCTTTATATTGAGTTGAGTATCCAGAGTTTAGTATCTTGAGTTGAGTATCTATCTTTGAGTTGAGTATCTTATCCTTGAATACTTCTGAGTTGAGTAAGTTTAAGTAGTTTTGAGTATCATTGAGTATTCCTTGAGTTGAGTAAGTTTTGAGAAGAGGTAAGTATGTTTCCTTTTTATCCAGTTTCAAGCTTATGCTTATGTTTTAGAATTCTCCTTACATGCTCGTACATTTTACGTACTGAGCCATTTGGCCTGCATTTTCTCATGATGCATACACAGATATTCAGGATCATCAACAGGAGCTTCGTTGATACATCCAGGAGTTCGAGTTGGCTATGGTGAGCCTCATTGTTTTCGGAGGATTTCCTTTACTTTCAGTTGTTAGGAGGTCGTGGGTCTTGTCCCGACTTCCATCATTGTCATTTAGAGGCTTCATAGATAGACAATAGAGTTTTAGAAGTCTTTCAATTATTTTGTTAAATGTTTTAAAGACTAAAGTTGTCTTTTTATGGCGAGTTGTATATATTTTATTATACAGAGTTTTCTTTGGATTTAAAGTTTGTATTTAAGATTTATGAACTTTTATTTCAGTTTTAAGCTTTTGCATGCTTAAGTTAGTCTTCCGCTTGTAGTCAGCCAGGATGAGGGTTCGCTTGGGGACCAGCAATGGTCTTCGAGTGCCGGCCACGTCCAGGGTGTAGACTCAGGTCGTGACAGATAAGCACTCCAGAAAGGTGAGAGTTTCCGAGGAAGAAAAACTTGAAAAGCCTAATTATTGTTATTATATATAAAAATGTGGTACAATTAGTAAACTCGATAATAATTCATAATAGTCAATTATTACTATAATCGAATTTAACTTATATACACTTATGTTATCAATATACTTTAATAATTATCTTATACTTGATTCTATAAATATATTTGTTGTAAAGTAATAATAACAGAGGAAGAAATCGGAATTCAACATAGTATTATATAAAAAAACTATTTTTTCACCTCATATATAAAATGTAAATTTTAGATTCAGAACAACTACTTGCGATACCTTAGCTCCGTCCATGTATACCATAGAGCAAGATACCCACCACCTCTGACTAAAAATATACTATATATATTTTTTATCTGTAATTGCATTTTCATCAACAGGTCAAAATTATTTTTTATGTATTTATACATTATTAGAAATAAAGATTTTTTATCGCGAATTATTTGAAAATTTGTGCTATAAGACGTGATTTTTTTTCAATCATTTTCCGCCGAACTAGTTCATAAGGAAAATGTGTGGTGTGATACAGATTCTCACTAAAATAATGAGAAATTACCTAATTTTTTCTATGTAAACATTACTATTTTTTATTTTCTCATCGACCCAATCAAAATATTTATGAAAATAGCTATTAAACATTCTTTTTGATTGTGAGTTGGATCCCGTTTGCATTACTTCTTTATATTTTGAACGTAACTCTTCTCAATTAAACTAACCAATGTTTGAATTATTATTTTTTAGACGTTTCAGCAGATAGAAGTCCATTAGATTGGTTTACAAGGATGAAAATAGCATCAAATGCAGCAAAGGGTCTAGAATATTTACATCATAAAGCAAATCCACCAGTCATATATAGAGACTTGAAATCCTCAAATATTTTATTGGATAAAGAGTATAATGCTAAATTATCAGATTTTGGATTAGCAAAACTTGGACCAATGGGTGATAATTCCCATGTTTCTTCCAGAGTTATGGGAACTTATGGTTATTGTGCTCCAGAATATCAAAGAACAGGACAACTTTCTGTTAAATCAGATGTTTATAGCTTTGGCGTTGTTTTATTGGAGCTAATTACTGGAAAAAGAGCTGTTGATACTACAAAAAATGGACATGAACAGATTTTAGTTGCTTGGGTAAGTCAAAACATTTTCCCTCCTGTTGACACTCAATTTTGACCCTCCCCGATGATAATCAATTTCTGAACTTCTTAATTTTTTTCAAACGATCTAGAATAATTAGTTCTATAAAGTTCAAACACTTTTCAAAGTCTTTTGAGTAATCTTAGTCGATTTTCATAATTTATTAATAGTAAATATATTTCATATAGTTTTATAGATATAATCGGTATATTTCATAAAAATTTGAAAACCATCTCAAAAAGATTTTATTTTAAAAATTCTATTAAAATTAGTTTAGTTTATTAATTAGTCTAGAGTTGAGTTAATTATTTTATTTCGTTAAGATTGAGAAGCTCCCAAATTAGTTATGTTTATTCATCTTATTTGGATCTTTGCCGAATTTGCAAATGAAATTCAATTTGGTTAAGTTTGTAATCTCAATTGACCAATTTTAATTCAATTTGACCAATTAGTAATTCAATTAACTATATCTATAGACCAAGTTGGGCCCCTTTTCTCTGAATTTCGGACGGCCCATTATTTCTACATTTAGGAAACTTAGCCCAATACATTTAGCATACCCATTCTTCCAATACAATACCAAACGACCCAAATCAGTTCCAGCGAGAGAAACCCAGAACATTCTCAGCTTTCTAACGCTAACACATCGTCTTCACGCTAGCAGCAGTCCAGCAGGCGAGCAGCAGTGCTGTTCCAGTCCTGAGCTTCTGCAAGAATCGTCCTTGGGGCTGCGAGATGATGCCACGTCGAGTCCCAAGGACGGAAGATCGATCCCAAGTCGTCCATTCTCCTTTCCTCTTCCGGAATGGAGCAAAATCTTCAGGAAAAGATGTTTCTCCGTAATGGGAAAAGAATTCGAATTTGAATTCGAGATGGGCCTTAAATTTTTTTTTTATCGGTTTCCCTCCAAGAAATTGGAACCCTAATTCTTGTCTATATATACTCTCTTCTCCATTCACTGTAGGGTTGGAGATTTTGGGGGATTTTTTTTGGGAAAAAGTGGAGAGATTTTAATGAGAAAGAAATTTTAACCAAGGCATAAAAAGTAACTAACACCTGCAATATATTTTTCAAAGAGAAACAGAGCCGGGACTCATTTTGGGTATTTTTGGTTTGATAATCTTGCCCAAATTTCTTGGCTACTGTTCGTGTTTCGGACTCGTGTGGAAAAAGCCGTTGTTCCTCTGCTCGTTCTGTCCCAATTTCGCTGCACCGTTAAAGGTAATACACATTTTTGATTCAACTACCTTCGCTTTTAATACGATGTTGGTGTGTGGGCTGTTTACATTATGATGTTTGAGCTTATTGTGACTCACTGTTTATCATAAATCAGTCCGTGTTTGGTTCGTTTGCTTTCGAATATTGATAAGAGTTGAGGTTCTCCGTTTCCCTTTGTCTACTATTTAATCTTTTGATCTCGACTGTGGTTGGAATAAGTGTATAGATGTTGGTGGGCTGTTTGTTGGTTGCAACTATGTTTCTCGTCTTAGTTTTCTTCTCGTTGTCATAAATCTGTACTGATATGTAAGTGTTTGATGTCGCATCCTTCGTTCTTTCACCTCAAGTTGAAGGAATGAAGCAAGACGTCAATATTTCGAGTTCTTAGTGTTTTATATTTGTGGTCTCGAATCTGTAGCTGATTGTTTCGACCATGTTAACTCCCGTTTATGCTGTCTATACGCAATATAACTTATACGTAACGAATTAGTCAAGCTCCATGTTTGGTTTGAGCTAAAAACATTTTCAAAATATATTGATGTCTTGTTCTTGTACGTGTTTTAAAGAATGAGTTGCGTTTTTTCTCCTCCTTTCTAATGGCCTATGGTGATCGAGTCTCAGGTCGGAAAGATTATAGCCTTACAAGTTGAGTTTTAATTCATTTTTGTTTGGTTGTGAATGTGTGCCTGTGTATGTAAAATTTGTATTGAGGCTTACTGCAATTTTTGTATGCCCATGTTTGTCCTTCTTATTATTTTTTATTTTACTTATTTATTTCTGAAGTTCTGAAAATGCTAAAAGAAAGAATAAAAAAATATATAAAATCACATCTCTTATTCATGTCTAAATTCCAGCGAGCAGTAGCATTGTTTGGCTAATTTTGTCTACTGGTTTGTTCAACTTGCTTAAGCTTATTCTATGCATGGGTTTATTATTGCCTTTCCATAGTTTCATATTGCATTTTTTTTTAAAAAAAAATATAAAATAAAATTAAAAGAAAAGAAGCTTAATCACTTTAACCTTAATAGTATTTTTTTTTATATTTGATAATGGTTTTCCTTATCCTTATCCTCGTCTAAATAAATATGCCTAAATTCACTCCATTTAGTTATTGTTTTGCCTTAAATGCTTAACAGTCACCACCATTTGGTGTCTTACCTTATTGTGTGAAGTTGGGTTTAATTTGAGTGAAAAGTTCTTTTAAGTATTGTGTACATTTGTTTGTCGTCCTTGTACAACAATGGTATAATAAACTAAGCGTATGTATCTTTGCCTCATTTCAATTTTATATACCTTGGTTGCATTGTATAGATTTAAAGTATCCTCCATCACTAATTCTTATATTGTTTTTGTTGTTGTTTTCTATGCATGAATCTGCCTTGGGTCCTCACGGACTTCTCTATTCCCCTTTACATTCCGATTTGGGTCGTAAAGGCCCAAATTTGCTCTTTTTATTCGAGTCAGCCTCATATCGGGTCAGCGAAACAGGCGCACAGGTTGAAAGCAATAAGATAACATTGAAAATTAAATTTTCAAGCTCTGAAAGAGTCAAAAACAGGCTGATATACCTGTTGTATACACCAATATACAGTCAGAAATATCACGTATAGGGCAAAAACGTGAAAATACAAGTGGAAAGTCGGAATTGCAGGTTGAAAAATGTGAAAATACGGGCGTACAGGTCTAAAGATGAATATACATGAATAAATGTAGAGATTCGGGTTGAAAATCATTCTGAATAAGCTGATATACGCCCAGTGTATATAATTTGCTTAAAGTTGGGAAATAGGCCCAAGGCCTTAAACAATTTTTTTCAGCATGCCTAGATGACAAAAAAAGGGGCCCAAAAGTCCATGTGAAAGTTAGCAAAACAGAGAAAAGCTGAAATGGGCCTAAGCCCATTATTTGGACCATATTTAGACTTAGGACAGGTGGGCCAAAAACCCAATTTAAACGATTCGGGCTAAAGCCTAAGTCTAATCATTTTCTTTCCCTCTCTTATTATTTTATATTGTATTATTTGACTAACGCTTTAACTATCTTATGGTTTTAATTTAATTAGATTCCCAAGGATGGTCATTTCATTTTATTTTCCAAATTAAAATATCTATGTTTTATACTTTGCTCTATTTTATTTAGTCTTGTCGCTTAAATTTATCCCCTTTAGAAAAATTTCCCTTTAGTTCACTCCTCCTTTAGATAAATAAAAAATGATAAAAATAATGATAGAAATAAATAATCAGTTAAAATAAAATGAGTTCTTTCGCTTTGTTAAACTTTTCAAAATTTAGTCGAAGTTGTGAATTCTTTACTTAGTTAAATTCTAAAAATAATTAGTTGAAATAAATGATTTCTTTTACTTAGTTAATAGTCTTCTCAAAAATTAGTCAAAACTATTTTCAGTCAAATCGTCGGTCAACCGCGAGTTAGCGGGCATTCCGAGAGCCTAACACCTTCTCGGAATGTACATTTGAACTCGAACCCGTTTTCAATTGATTTTGTCTGTTTAAATCTTTTGGAAACCTTATAGTTTTTTCTTGATTTTTACTAAAAAAATTAAGTGACGACTCTGTTCTTTTGAGAATTCGATTTGCTTAAATCATAAGTTTAATCGATTTTTCGAAAACTAAGTCATTTTCCTTTTATAAATATTTTTAAATAAAACACCTCCTACTCTCTATTTTTCGAATTTCATGATTAGTGTTAGTCACTAGCAGAATCATGACTTTATGTTTGAAGATTTGAAACTTGGATGTGTGGTCAATCACAAATTTTTGAATCCCCTTATATATCTTCGTTGATGCAAAAAGGATTCAACATTTTCTACATAATCAGAAAATAATTATGTGTACGCTAGTTGCACAATATAATTTTTGCTTCGTTATTTGATACTACATATATGTATGTGCAAAAAATAAGTAAAAAAAGACATACATACTTTAAGTATTAATAAGAGGGAGTTGATCAGATGATAAGCACTCCAGAAAGGTGAGAGTTTATGAGGAAAAAAAACTTGAAAAGCCTAATTATTGTTATTATGTGGTACAATTAGTAAACACGATAATAATCCATTATTACTATACAATCGAATTTAACTTATATACACTTATGTTATCAATATACTTTAATAATTATCTTATACTTGATTTTATAAATATATCTGTTATATTGTCTTTATTGCTCTTTTTTTTCCAGGCGGAACCAATTTTCAAAGAAACAAGTAGATATTCAGAACTGGCAGATCCATTATTTAATGGAGATATTCCAAAAAGAAATTGTAATCAAGCGGTTGCGATTGCTGCCATGTGTCTACAACAGGATCCAACCGTTCGTCCATCGATCAGTGACGTGGTCACTGCTCTCACTTTCCTTTGGGCCGAATCGGGTAAGGGATTCGGGTCTCCGGTTTCTCCCTCATTGCCCGTTTCATCGTCTGATAATGAAGAAAGTCATGAAGAAAATAAAATTACAGAACGAGAGAGAGCGGTTGCAGAAGCCATTGAATGGGGTTCGAACTCAAGAACCCAAAATGAAAGATTACCATAATTTTCACGTATGTAAAATTTTGCGCAAATTAAAACAATGTTGTCGATTTAATATCATAATTATTCGACTTATAATTGTAAGTGAGTTTGAGTCTGAGATTATATAGAGTGGTCTTAAAGACTTTATATCTCAAAATTAATATTTATTTTCTACTTTATTATTAGATCTCAAGCCCTCATATTAGTCCCTCCGCTTCAATGTATGTGGCGGTGTTTGACTGAAAAATGAAATTTTAGAAATAAAAAACTTTTTAAATTATTTGGTTTAAAACTAGTCAAAGATGTATATTTGTATGTTAATTAAAAAATTGAAGTTAAAATATTTCTGTATAAGAACATATGACATTCTTTTTACCAAAATTGAATTATACTGACCAACATATATGATTCAATTAAAGTCTAAATAATTAGTGGAAAATATTTTCATCAAAAATGAAACAACAAAAGATTTCTGTAGCAACAAGCTGATATTGACCTCAGCTCTGAGCAACATTTTTTATGTGTTTAAGATAAGTTTCTACACATAACATTATAATAAAAAACGCAACAAAACAAAATAAAATAGTACTATTTGTTTGTAGAAGCTATTCCCGATGTGATCGATGATACATTGATCTTATTACTCCCTTTGTCCCTAATTACTTGTTCATTTTTCCCGTTTTAATTGTCCCTAATTACTTGTTTATTTTGACAAATCAAGAAAGGACAATTTTTTTTACTTATTATACACTCAATTAATTATGTTGAAAAATGTAGAGCTTCTTGAAACTCTTAAGTTTTTAATTCATCTACTTCATAATTAATAGGGATAAAATGGTAAACTCACTATGTCAATCATTATTTTTTTAATAGGTGTGTCAATTCAAAAGTGAACAAGTAATTAGGGACAGAGGGATTATGATTTACTTGAATCAAGCTGCTTTACCTTTACAAAATAGCGATACAATAGCATACACACCATCCTTACAGACTCTAGCTACTTCTAAGATTATACTAATACTAATATATTGTTATAATCAATCAAATCATTTAAATGATAATGCCAAGTAATTCTAATTAATTAATAGCATTGAGAGGTGAAAGTCTAAGTGATATTAAATGACATTAGTCGTTTGGTTGGGAACAAGTTATTCCAAGTAATTAGGGACAGAGGGATTATGATTTACTTGAATCAAGCTTCTTTACCTTTACAAAATAGCGATACAATAGCATACACACCATCCTTACAGACTCTAGCTACTTCAGGGGCGGCTCTGCCTTATAAAAATAAAGGCATATGCCTTAGGCCCCCAACTTTGAAAGGCCTCAAATTTTTATCAAAAATAAATTATGTGTTATTTTTTTATTTAAAATAATAATTATTTATAATAAAAAGTATATAGTATATATTTTTTGTTACATTTCTTTGCTAACATTCACATTATTTATTTTTTAAAACTCATTTTTGCTTAAAGTTTATCAACTTATTACTTATAGAATTGTGTTAACAATTCATATAATGATTGCTTTAATAAAATAATATTTTTCAACGTTAAATTGATAAAATCTTACCTAAAACTAATAATTATAAATAAAAAGAAGTACTCGAAAAAATCATCTATAAAAAAAATTAAGTAATAATTTGCATCTAAATAGTTAGAAAAATAAATTTTAAAATAAATATGTATGAAATTTGTTAAGCGTCAATTGAAATTTCGCTTTAGGCCCCCAATTACGTTGAGCCGCCCCTGAGCTACTTCTAAGATTATACTAATACTAATATATTATATATTGTTATAATCAATCAAATCATTTAAACGATAATGCCAAGTAATTCTAATTAATTAATAGCATTGAGAGGTGAAAGTCTAAGTGGTATTAAATGACATTAGTCGTTTGGTTGGGAACAAGTTATTTCAAGATTAGTAATTCTGGGATAACTTATATACCCCACTATATATATGGTATAATTTATCTCATCATTATGATATAAATATTGGGGTAAGTTATCCCAAACAAGATACAAAAAATTTATCCCATCACTATTTATTTTTATCCCTCACACCAAATTATTATAGTATATATATATGGGATCCCTATATATATAGCTAGATCAATTATGTTTCTCTAAGATTTCATAAGATAGAGCCCATGCTTATCGTATTCAATGCACATGACAATAATGCTCAAATAATTAAATGCCCACCAACATAAAAATTGTAGTATTTATAGGTCACATATAGTATCTTCTTTATGAAAACAATACTACTATATACTTGCAATAATTTTTTTTTTTTGAATAATCAATTAGCTAGACAAAAGAAATTTCACAATGGCAAAGGTTGGAGGATCCAGATGGTCACTTAATGGTTTGGTGGCTCTTGTCACTGGAGGCACTTATGGAATTGGGTGAGCCTTTAATTTCTATAATTTTTCTGAGTTTAAATTCTATATATATACCGACAGTATAAATGTACGTCTAGATATACCATGTTAACATACACAGATAAGACATTTATACCTTGGAAACCGCATAATGTCTGTGATTAGTGGTCTCCAAAATGAATCATCTCTGGTCCATGGAAAAATACAGGGGAGGAAATTGACAAAATAAATTCGTAACACGGAGAAACTCTACCAAATTAAAAAGATTTATTTCACCATCTATTTTCTATTTTAATTACTCAAGTTTAAAATAATCTGTGTTTGTATATATTTGTATAATTCGCGTGTATAACATAAAGTACTTATAGTTGTATATTTAGCATTGAATAATTAACATAAAATTTAGGTAGAATTAGTATTTTCCTTTAATGTTGTTTTAGACTATGGTTTAGTGTCAATCGAAAAATGGACGTTGGATAGGAAGATCGAAGACTTGTGTACTTATATATAAAAAAAAATACACATTCTAGCTCTTAAATAGTTGAAGAAGGAAGTCTCCTCTCACACCATCATCACTTAATTTTTTTTTTTATAAGTAATTCTAATAATAACACGGTTATTAACGTAGAGTAAATGATAAGTAACTGATATATATAATATGTTAAATTATATTAATAATATAATAAATCGCTATATATATAAATCTTTTTTTAATCATTTATTTATATATAGCGAAATAACTTATTTCGTGATAATAGACATAACTTGACAATACATATCCAAACTCAAATAAAATACATATTCAGATACAACTTCAAATTTTAAAATTTAAAGTTTCAACTTTAAATCAATAATGAAACAAGAAATTCAAAGGCTACATCATTTTGTGGGTCCATTATAGCATAACTTGAGAATTAAAGGTAACGGTAAAACTGTGTACGTATACAAATGATGCTTAATAGAGCAGATTAGTAACGTTTGTATGAGCAATACTTGTATTGCTTTTGTTTGCATTAATTATGAATAAATTATTTTTTATGCATTGTTTGATTTGATATACTAAAAATAATATACATGGTATAAAAATAATTAAATACAAAAATATCCTTCACAACAAAGGTGGAAAAGAGGTTTTGAGGGGTAATTGAGTCTTTAACCATGTTAATACATGTGTTAAATCCCTATGCATAACAAATATCTAGAAAAATTCTACGCTATTAATAATACACTACTCAATGCACAATAGAGTATAACTAATGCAAGCATTAGTTAATACCTAGAAATTTATTAAGATATTAATAAAATAAAGTAGTATATAATAAAAGACACAATAATTAGTATGTTATTCGATTACAGTCTAGCTTTTAGAAGTTCTTTTAATTTTGTTTTGTTTTTTCATTTGTTGGGATCTAAAATATTGAATTCGGGATTGAAAAAAAAAACATTTTATATCAAAGACAACTCCATAACTTATACTAACTCATAATTTTTTTTAAAAAAAAATCTATTATTTAATAGTAAAACATATAATAAATATCATATGCATAAGTTTTCTAAAAAAAGATTCTTGGAGCTATTTTTCAAGCTTGCATTGTTAAAGTTTGATTTATGTGATAACAAAACTTAAATTTAATCAATTACCTTTAATTAGTTGCAAAACATATGATAAGTATCATATGCATGATCTTGGGGCTATTTTTCAAAATAGAGTTTGAATTGCACTTCCAAAATTCATTGTACTGGCCGGCAATTACACTTAAATAAATGATATATATAACCCAATATTCCAAGTGGAAAATGTCGAAAATTAAAAAATAAAATAAAAAGATTTATAATATATAGAAATTAGTTGGATTACTTTTAAAACTGTTTAAATTATTGCAAATCAGCGTACTCCTTCAGAGTCGGAGTCACGTGAAGTAGCCGAGACTTAAAAAACGAAAAAAGAATCGTTTGATTCTGATTAGATACGAAATATTAAAAATAAATATTTAAGTTTATTTATAAAAAATATTTTTAATTTCAATTTTTTATTTTTTTCATCTCACCCCGCTGCGCCAGCCCCACCACCCCACCCTAAAAGAATTAAGTTTTATTTTAAAAAGTATTTTCAATTTCAATTCAAAATTTATTTTCTACTCTCTATAAAAAATAAAATAAAAATAAAAGATATTTTCTCAAAAAAAAAAAATTATTTATAAATCAAACACTAAAAAATCTTTTTGGGAAAATATTTTCTACTAACCAACCAAACATGAGAAAATAAATAAAAAATATACTTGTTTTTCAGAAAACATTTTTCTTCCTACCAAACACACCCTAAATGTGTAGAATTCTTGCATAAATACTGCGTGTATTTTCCTTTACTATTGTTATAGACTATGATTTAGTGTCAATTGAAAAATTGCGAGGAAATAAAATTTGAACAACATTAAATAATCCATTATTGGATAGAAATATCGAAGACTTGTGTACTTATATATAAATAAAAGCACACATTCTAGCTCGAAGAAAGTCTCCTCTCACACCGTCATTGTTATCATTGACTTGGACTTTGCATTTAATCAAATGATTTGATTGAAATATTGAGCATGCAATTTGTCTTTAAAAAAAATTATAAGTAACTCTAATAATAAC